CAGGGACAATGTGATGTGACATGAGGCAGGGATGTTGCTCACATGTATTACCCTTGGCTATGACGCGTTACTGCCGGTACTACATACACTGAGGAAAAGTCATGTCTGAGATGTTAATAATTCCTTACACTGATGAAAATCTATTGCACAGACAGGTGCTATGTGAGGGTGGTGTGACGTGAAGGGTGTGTGTGTGTGAGAGGGATGTGTCTGAACAAGAGTGTGCAGAGGGATGCTGTGATGACCATCGTAGCAACAGGTGCCTATTTCCATGCCTCATACATGAGGCATCTGGATCTCATCTTCCCATGCATCAGGTACCTGGTTCCCACAGTCCCCCTTATAGGACATTCCTGATAATTCGGTGGATCAGGCAATTGGTACGTCCCCTGCATCACGCATGTGACTCCCATTCCCCATTCATGCGTTTCATACCCGATTCTCTTGCATCACGCATGTGACTCCCACCCATTCCCCATTTGTGCTTTTCATACCCGTTTCTCTTGCATCAGGCATGTCACATTTCCCTTGGCGTCAAGTATCAGATATGTTCCCAGTTCCTAAGCACACCAAACATGTGATCCCCATGCTCTGTGCATAACGCATCTGTTTCTCAAGTTCCATCCAACTAACAAATGAATCCCATTTCTTATGCTTAGGCGCCTCAATATCGTTTCCCATACACCAGGCACCTGATTCTCAAATCCGTTGCGCATCGGGTATCATGTTACCGGTTTCCGTGCATCAGGGATTTGATCTCCTGTCCCCATGCATTTTGCATCTGAAATTCCCACACCTGCATCCACACCTGACTTTGTTCTCCCATCTAATTCGTACTGCCTGTGCATCAAGCATGCGATTCCCATTTCTCATGCATCAGGCATCTGATTCAAAAAGCATGTAAATCCCGTTTCCAATGCTTAGTCCTCTAATATGTTCTCCGCATGCATCAGGCATCTGCTTCCCATTTCCCATGCAGTAAACATCTGACTCTCATTTGCGATGCATCCAGCATGTAGTTTCCATGTTCCATGCATAGGGCGTCTGACTGATTCCCATTTGTCCTCCATCATGCATGTGATTTTCATATCCAATAAAGAATCCCTCTCATTTCCGTTTTCCCATGCCTCAAGTATCTTATTTTCATTATCATTGTGAAAGGCATCTGATTCCCATATCTCATGCATGGATGTGATTCTTGTTTTCCACGCATCAAGTACCCGTTTTCACTCATCAGGTAATGGATTCCCATTCCCAAAGTAACAGGTGTGTGATTCCCATTCCCTCGGCATGAAGCATGTGATATCCAGTTTCCCATGCATGAGGGATCCCGAAAGCCTATCTATCAAGGTTGTAAATTCCAATTACCAATGCAAAGGCATCTTTTTACATCTCTCATGCATCAGGCGCCTCCCGTTCCCAATGCATCAGGCATATCATTCATGCATTCAGTACACCAGGCATTTGATTTCCGTTTCCCATGCACTGCGCTTCTCATCGATCTCCCATGAATTGTCAATTCAGTTCTCATTCTCTGTAAATCTTACCCATTCCACCGTGTGAGGTCAGATGCTCCTTTACCCATGTCCCATAGCGCCATGACCCATGATGACCCATGACCCATAGACTCAACATTTCTAGGAGTGAAGGGGATGCACAGCGTGGGTGAGAGGCAGCGGTGCTCCGATTTGACCTGCTGGGTCAGACCCAATGGGAGAAGCACCACAGGAGCCACGATGGGGAGAGAAATGGCAAGGGCATGGTCACAGGCCTCCTGGTGCGAGCAGGCCAGGCAGCCCTGCCCCAGATGCCACCTCCACCTATGACCCCGATGGTGGTGCAGCAAGTGGCTTCAGACGGGAGGGAGTCCACCGGCGAGTTAGCAATGGGGAGGGTGAGGGGGGATGCGGAGGAGACCGTCATGTGAGGTCGGGTAGAAGAGTTGAGACGCTCAAAGCTGGGAAAGCTCAAAGCAGGGAAAGCTCAAAGCTGGGAAAGCTCAAAGCTGGGTTGACATGGTGAGGGCAGATGGATGTCAGGTATGAGCTATTGAGATGTTTTGTTGTCAGCAGGCAGTGCTTAGGCATCTGTAGCACCCTGCTCAGCGCTTGAATCTCATGCTGGGCTGGGAGGGTGTCATGGTATCTTCTCCCATCTTATTCGTATGCCCTGTGCGTCAAGCATGCGATTTCCATGCAATTTCCCATGCAATAAGCATCTGATTCTCTTATTTCATGAATGCGTGATTTTCATTTCCCATCCACTGCGCTTCTGATTCCCATCTCACATAAATCATCTAGTGCTCTAGTGCTCTCTCCACAGGCATCTGGTCGCCATTGGGGAGTGCGATGGGGGGTGTGGGGGAGAAGTCAGCTGCGGGCAGAGAAGAGCTCGGTTGCTATGGCATGGTGTGGTCGGATGAATGCCGGGTTTGAGCGGTTGAGATGCTATATTTGTCGTCAGCACGCGGTGCTCCTGCATCTGCAGCAGCTTGTACAGCGCTTCGAGTATCAAGTTGGATGGGAGGGATGGTATGGTGTCACGGCGCGTGGATATCATGTTGGGCTGGGATGGGAGGGGTGTCACAGTGTTATGACGCTTGTTGAGATGTTTTGTTGTCAGCACGCAATTCTTGGACATTTGCAGCAGTTGGCACAGCGCCTTGAATAGCATGCTGGGCTGGAAGGGATGTCACAGTGTTATGGCTTCCTGGTGGCATGGTGTCAAGGTGCTTGAGTATCATGCTGAGCTGGGAGGGATGGCATGGTGTCATGGCGCTTGGATATCTTGCTGGCTGGGAGGGATGTCACGGTGTTAAGACGCTCGATTATCACGCCAGCCTGAGAGGGGTCTCATGGAGTCATGGCGCCCTCTGGCTTGGCTGCCAGGAGCACCATGCGGGCTGGACGAGTTGCCAACGAGTTGGTGAGCACTCTTGAGGCTAGCAGAAAGCACCCGATCGCTCTTTCCTCCTGCTTGTCGTTGAAACATTCGCGCCGTACATCTGACATCTAAATTACAGTTCCTGTGCATCCGACATCAATTCTTCATGTCTTGTGCATTCGACAACAGATTTTCATCGCGACGTTCAAGCTGAAAGTTTCCCCTGCATCGATATATTCAGCAATGCAATCATGATCCTGTGCATCTGACATCAGTTTTTCATTTCCTGTGCATTTGATATCAGATTTTCATTCACTGTGTTCCCAGTTTCCTTGCACTACAAAGCCAATTCCAACTTCCCATGCATCAGGCTCTGACGTTTTCGGTTCAAATGCCACATGTTGCTCATTTTATTTCTCATACATCAGGCATCATCGCCGCTTCTCATGCATCATGCATCTGATTTTGGATACCAATATGGCGTCTGACTCCCATCTCCCATGTATCAACCATTGAACTTCCATTCCCCCTGATTATTACATCGCATGCTCCAGCAGTGTGTTCTACAAGGTCAGATGCTCCGCCCGTGACCCATGACCTATGCCCCCTTTTACCTGCTTTCTTTTTTTCTCTCAGTACTTCCATTCTTCTCACTCTTCTCATTTTCTGGGATGAAAGTGCACAGAGCAGCGCACGTTGTATAAGGCTTCCATTGGTTGAAGTTCATTGTCTTGACCTCACTCACCCATGCAGAAAGAAGTGCCAGGATTGACCTTGCAGAGTCACATTTGTGACATTGAGTCAGGGTCAGGGAAGCTGATAAGGGGAACTCATGCCATTTCAAAGTATGACGTCACGCAGTCTGCTGTTTTGGCAACGATGCACTTGTACATAGAAACTGGCCCATCTCTTCCAGTCTCACTGTCGCACTCATGGGGGAGGGGAGCCAACAAGTCTTATGGCTTGCCGCAGCTGAACATTGTGTGTGGTGTGGACAAGTGTGTTGAGCTATTCAATTTTTGACCAGCCTTGCAATGTCAGCATGTTATTGTAAATAAAACATGTGCTATTGATGTCGTATGTTTTAGAGTTCATGCTTCACAATTTACAGAACAGAGATCAGAAAATGCTTATTTGACAAGAGTACTTGTGAAATGAAGGTGCATAAATTTTCTGAAAACCTGATATTCTCATTCGAAAGCTGGTTGTCCTGTAAAAGGTATGGCACCTAGGGTTTCGTGCACCAGCTGGATCTCACATCTCGCCATCCCTATCCCTATCTCACTAAGACAGCCGCCCTCACTGACCGAACACTAAACGGTGTAGATTTACTGCTGGAGTATGTAGGGCGCCCAGACGTCACATGAATAACATGGCTCTTGGTCCCTTTCGTCAGCCACCCTCACCTTCCCTTGTCTTAGGAAAGCACCGCCGCTCATCTGGCACGTGACGCGGCATGTCACGAGTGGATCCACGTTGGAGGTGCGCTATATGCGGTTCAGGTCAATATTGTCGGTGCAATCATTGCATGCGCTGTAATGTCGGTGCCGTTGACGGTTCCGGAAACCGTAGAGCGTTTCCAGCCTTTCGTTTGCATTCCAGCCGCTCCTTTTCCTTCCCCGCCAGCTCATTTCTCGTCATCCACGTGAATGCGCTGGCATGGAGATGTCTTGGCCGATTAATCTTAACCGTTGTTGAAGTCTTAGATTGGGTCGTGAAGATCCAATGGCTGTCGACCGAGCTGATCAATTATAGCGCGCTGGCAACCATTGCTAACATTTCGGAGGGAGCGTGGGGCTCCGACAGCCGGGGATCGAGCCTAAGAAGGCTCCCACTTTGGCGGGATCCCGAAGCTAGAGCCACACCGAACCCATTCCGAACCGCGCTGCCTGGTTGTGCGGCCTACGGGAGGTAGGGAGGCAACGGGCACTTGCCTGGCTTGGCTGTGAGTACAAGTGACCAAGGCAATGAGTATTCCTCTTCAATCACACTTCCATTGTTCGAGCTTTATTTGAGTCACATCCCGTTTGATCTATCCACCTACTGCTAGAACCTCTTGCTGGATTTTGTTGTCGGAACTCTTGCTAGATCGTTCCAGCTTACACTCGTTGAATCAAATGGCCCTTATCCACCCTGAATCGGCTCTCGCTCTAGCTGTTGCTGCTGCCGCTTGCTTTGGCGACGCTGCACAATACTTCTGGGACGTTCCGAGCTGGCTCGCCTGCTCGCCAGCAAGTTCCACTCCGTTTGAATGGCTGACGGAGTGGACGGATGCTGATGAAATCGAGTTGAGAAGCGGCTCTGCCAAGAGCAGCTCAACTCAAAATGACGAAGATGAGCTTCTGCCGCTGCTGCTGCTGGCGGATTACGATCTGGTGGACCCTCGTGAGTTTATAACCACTGAATGGACGCCAGAGGATGAGGCGTACCTGAGAACTGGTGTTCTCAGCCTTGGTGACAGTGAGAGTGACTGCGAATGGCTGACAGAAAATTCGCAGGTGGACCCCTCTGAGTTCATCACCGAGTGGACAGACGCTGATGAAGCGTATCTGAGAGACACGACTCTCAGGTGCTTCTCAGCACCGAGTGAGGGTGACAGGCTGCTGCTGTCGTCAAAGCTGAAGCCTATGACAGCAGCTGCTGTGGCGTACAGGGTTGGCAGGTTTGCTGAAGTGACCAGCAAGCGGGAATCTTGTGCTCCTTTAGGCTTTTCACGGTTGAGACCTGCTGTGGTCCGGGCTGCTGCTGCAGCTATGGGTGCTGTTGCTTCTGCTGTGGGTGCTGCTGCTGATGCTGTGGTTGCTGCTGCTGACGCTGTGAGTGCCGCTGCTGTCAATGCTGCTGCTACTATCGCTGCATCATCTGCAGCACCTTTAAAGCCGGCAGTCAAAGTTGCAGCTTCCAGGCCAGCAGCAAAGGTTGCAGCTTCCAAGCCAGCAGCAAAGGCTGCAGCTTCCAAGCCAGCAGCAAAGGCTGCAGCTTCCAAGCCAGCAGCAAAGGCTGCAGCTCCCAAGCCTGCAGTCAAGGCTGCAGCTCCCAAGCCTGCAGTCAAGGCTGCAGCTCCCAAGCCTGCAGTCAAGGCTGCAGCTCCCAAGCCTGCAGTCAAGGCTGCAGCTCCCAAGCCTGCAGTCAAGGCTGCAGCTCCCAAGCCTGCAGTCAAGGCTGCAGCTCCCAAGCCTGCAGTCAAGGCTGCAGCTCCCAAGCCTGCAGTCAAGGCTGCAGCTCCCAAGCCTGCAGTCAAGGCTGCAGCTCCCAAGCCTGCAGTCAAGTTTGCAGCTCCCAAGCCTGCAGTCAAGGCTGCAGCTCCCAAGCCAGCTGCAGCTTGCAAGGCTGCAGTGAAACCAACAGCAGCTCCTGCCACGGCCAGTGCCAGTGCTTCTCGTGTGGCGCCTCTGAGGCAAACAGTGCAGAAGGGGTCGCAGGGAAGAACAAGGAGGTCAAGTGGGTAAGTAAGTCAGGCTGCACAAGCAGCCTCACAGAAACAATTATCTCATATTCCTAGGTGGAAATAAAGATTCCCTAGATACTTTGTATATATTTATGTATATTGTAAATTCTATTCATGAATGTGTGATTTTTAACCTGTTTGGTGAATATATCTTCTGCATTGTTCAACAGTAGGTGGGGTACAAAGGTTGAGTACAAATCTTTTGAATATGAGGAGTCCACCTCCAGTTTCATATATCTTCTCTTCACCTTCATAAGAGTTGCTTGGGCCTGATTTCAGTGTGCTCCTGTCGCTGGAGAATCCTGAGGGACGTTGATTCCAGGCCCTGAATTCCAATTTCTCATGCTTCTCACCTTTTCGGTTTTCAAAAGTTGGCCATTTAGTTCATGTTTCCGATGCTCAGGCATGAGCTTCTTCCATTTCCCATAAACCCGGCAACTTTCTATGCATCAGGCGTTTGGTTCCCATAATTCTGTCCATCAAACATCTGATCTCCATTTCCCATTCACCTGCCATATGTTCTTTTGCAATCCGTGAATTCAGCATCTGTTTTTTTACTTTCATGTATCAATTATCCAATTTTCATCCTACATGCATCAGGCATGTGATCCCTATTTCCAATGCATCATGCGTCGAATTTTCAATCTACCATGCATCAGGCATTGGATTCTACTGATAACCATATATCAGGCATCCGAATCCACTTTCCATACATGAAGCATTTGCTTCAGGCATCCCGAACCTCAGCTCTCGCATTTTGCCATTGTCATGCATTTTTTTCGTTTTCCATTTTCCAGGCAACCTATTTGCCCCAGTTCCAAGGTATTGCTTTGTTTCCGTATTGGTACTCTTTGGTGTCTTAACCTTCCCCTTGTTGTGTGCAAGTCGTATGTGCTTTGACGGGTGTTACAAACAGCAGCAACAACGATGTGAAGGGCCTTGTGGACAAGTACACTGTGCTATGAGGCAGAGATGTTGCTGACAGGTACTCTTGGCCATGGAGGTTGTTACTGCAGATTGTTACACTGAATGCACTGAGAAGGTCCATCATGGGAGATGCTGATAAAATCCTCACTGTTGAAAAGAGAATACAGACAGGTACCGGTGTGTGCGAGTGTGGGTATGTGAGCTCTGTTCCAGCCAGCCTATCTGCCTGCTGAAATTGTTGCTGCCTGTTGTGAAGGGATGTGCTTGAAGGCATGTGCTTGAATGCATGTGCTTGATTGCATGTGCTTGAGGGCATGTGCATGAAGGCATTTGCTTGAAGGCATGTGCTTGACGGCATGTGCTAAGGCATGTGCATGAAGGCATGTGCTTTACGGCATGTGCTAAAGCATGTGCTTGAAGGCATGTTCTTGAATGCATGTGTTTGAATGCATGTGCAAGCAAGTGTGCAAAGGCATGGCATAAGGGCATGCATGGCTTCAATGTGAGACCGGAAACATTACCATTATGGTTTATGTGCGGTATGGTAATGGCGCTGATTGGAAACTGATGATTGGATAATTAAAAACACTGCAGCTGTAGGGTATCACTTGTGCCAATTTCAGATAGTGCATGCAAGCGTTCCTAAGAGGGGCCAGCCAAGTAGTTAGACATTATGATGTCAAGTCATAAAGTACTTACGCCATCTTGCAAAATATCTCTGTCTTGCCAAATATCTCTCTATTTATTTCCAATGCTGTTACCACACTAGAAGCTGCCCTCAGAGCTATGAGGGTACTATGGCCCATAATCCAAGATTCAGAGTCATGTCAAAGCATAACTCAGCACCTACATCAATTGCAACTTCTGCTGTCTACCCTGGTTGCTCCTCTATATATCTACAGAGCAAATGCCGCCTGAGACGAAGTCGCAGCTTGAGTGTGACGGGGAGGTAAGGTGAGGTCAGGTAATGGCCATGAGAGTGGAGGAAGTGTGGAGCGAGTGTGTCAGGGGTGTGGAGGGAATGTGGAGGTAAGGCGAGGTTAGTCAAACGTCGGTGGGGTAAGTGTGGGCTTGCAGCTGGGCGAGCAGGACCTGCGGCATGGCGTCACACTCCACCTCCCTTGCCTCCGAAATAAGCTGGTTATTGAGAAATATCACGAACTGACTGGTCAAACGAAGGTAGGGTAGGTCTGGGCTTGCAGCTGGGAGAGAAGGACCTGCAGCATGGCGTCACACTCCACCTCCCTCGCCTCTGCCTTCTGTGCTCTCCGCTCCTCCTCCTGCCAGCGCCAGCGCCAGCAACAAGAACAGGCACAGGAAAGGGAGTGCGTGAGGCATAGGCAGGACACTGAGTCTCCCGCAGGTGACACTTTCTGCGCTCTCCATTCACTCCTTCTGGCAGAGCTGCCATCACAAGCAGCTACAACAAAGGGCACAGCATGAGAAGCACACCTGGAAGAAACAACCAGCAGCAGCAGCAGCAGCAGCAGCAGCAACCCAAACCAATCTGAACCAAGCACAAGTAGCATGCAGCAAGCAAGCAAGCACAAGCAGCAGCAATTCTCAACAAGATCGCAGCGTCATTGCAGTCCATGCGACACCACACCCTCCTGTCAGTGCATTCTCATGCCCTTTGGTGAATGTGCCACCATGCCATCACATCACACGATCAAGCCACCACGCTATCACACGATCAATCAAGCCATCATGCCCAAAAATCTCATCCAACCCTTACAACATCACACCCAGCACCCCCCATCACTACCTCACGCCACTTCACATCTTCAGCCAGTCGCCTCTTCTCCTGCTCCTCCAGCCGATCAATCCACGCCCCGCCCAAGCAATTGCAGCATGCATACCCTCAAGCAAACAAGCCCAAGCATATCCGAGCTCCATGCAACACCCCTTCCCCTCATCCCTACCTCACGCCACTTGACATCTTCAGCGAGTCGCCGCTTCTCCTGCTCCTCCAGCCTCTCAATCCACGCCTCGCCTCTCTCCTTGCCCCTCTCCTCCACCCGCTCGCCCTCGTCGCCCCACTGCCCCTCCAGCAGGGCATGCTGCTGCAGCAGCGCGCCCTGCACCTCCCACATCTTATCCAACCGCTTCTTATCTACCTTCATCCCTAGCCACCCCTCGCCCAGCTTTCTCCGCAAGCCCTCCTTCTCAGCATCTCCCCTCGAGTCCACTCGCGTCCTCCCTGCACCTCTGCCTGCTGCGCTTGCCCCTGCACTGCCACGCCTTCCCCTTCCTCCCGCCTTTCCCCCCTTGCTTCCTCTCTTCCGCTTCTTGCCTGCTGCATCTCCCTCCTCCCATTCCTCCTCCCCATCGTCTCCCTCCCCCTCCCCGTCCTCCTCCTCTTCCTCCTCGTCTTCCTCCTCCTCCCCGCCTTCCTCCCCCTCCCCATCCCCCTGCATTCCAAACAAGCCATCCGAGCCAAACAACGAACCCCCTCCCGCAGCAGCCCGTGCCGAGCCTGCAGGTCCGGCGCCTGCCGAGCCTGCAGGTCTGGTGTCCACGACGCCATGGCCCAGGGCGGCCACTCGCGCAGCCTGCTCTGCGCGGATCTTGAAGATGACTGTGAGCTCATCGAAGAAAGGACACGCCTTGCCCTGCCGCTCCGATAGCTCCATGCTCTGGGGAGGGGGGCGGGGGGTTGTGGGGGACAGCGGGAAGGGGACGGGAGAAGGGGAGCATTTATGACCTGCTCTGCGCGGATCTTGAAGATGACTGTCTGCTCGTCAAAGAAAGGACACGCCTTGCCCTGCTGCTCTGAAAGCTCCATGCTCTGGGGGGAAGTGGGCGGGTATGGGGGGAAGGAAGGAGGGGGATGGGGACGGTGGGGAGGGGGGAGGAGTTGCCGTGCATGCATGGCCTGCTCTCCTTGATGAAAAAGTGTCGTGTGCCGTTGTAACGAGGTGACTTTTGAGTCGGCTCAAAAGTCACCGCGGATCTTGACGATGACTGTGAACTCGTCGAAGAAAGGACACGCCTTGCCCTGCCGCTCTAACAGCTCCATGCTCTGAATAGGGGAAGGTGGTGGTGGGAGCGTGGAGGGAGTGGGGGAGAGGGAAAGAGAGGGGGGAAAAGGGAAGGGCAGGGAGGGGGGGGGAGGGGAAGTTGGGGGAAGAGGGAGATGGCACGCGTGGGAGTGGATACTGATGCGTGTGTGCGGTGCTGCCCTGCTCCGCTCGCCACAAAATTGAGAATGCTTTACGATCGCCAGGGCGTCGAGGGAGGAACGGATATGATGCGTGAGTGAGTGCGGTGCGTTGGAGGCCTTGTCCCGCCGCTCCAACAGCTGGCTTTTGAGATTTCTCAAAAGCCGCTTCAATAGCTGGATGTTTTGGTGATGCGGCGGCACATGCAGGCGGGAGGAAGGGAGCGGGGCGGGGGGGAAGGGGAAGTCGGGGGAGTGGGGGGGAGGGGGTCTGAAAGGAGTGGACGGCCCACATCAAGAAACGAATGAGTGTTTTACCTTGTTGAACAGCACGGCGCTTACTGTACTCGTTAGTTGCGTTGTTAGTTAGCACAGCGCGTCACCTTGTATCGGTTGAAGAGAACGGTCCACTTGGCCTTGCATTGCACCATGGATCGATGATACCCCTGCTTCTTCATCTCGGTCGAAACCCACTCCCACATGCGCTTCCCGCCAAAATCAACCGCCCCGCCATCCTCCTCGTCATCATCACTGGCGTTGCCGGCCTTGGCATTAATCGACCGACTCGTTTCGCGCTCCACGCGTTCCCGCAGCGCGATCAACGCCCGCGACTCGTCCGCGGACCATCGCTCCATTGAGTATCGCTGATGACTATAGAGAAGGCTGGAGCAGGTTGGAGATAAACTGTCACTTTGGAGCAAAGTTGTTCCACAGAAACTGTCAACGCTGCTCCTGTGCCAATCTATTTGGATGGTATACCAGAGAAGCTTTGGGAGCTCTGGGGGCTCACTATTCAGGTTATTCAAACCAGGATATTTGAGCGCTCACTAAGAACGAGAACGGCCAATAGGGACGACTTTGCGAAGAGCTGGGAGGCGTGCAAAATTTTGCAGGTTACTCGTACTGGCAAATGC